ACCTCATACCTGAGGTGTCGCGTTATAAGCAGACTTTTATCGTACGAAAACCACGTCCGCTAAAGGACGCTGCCAGCTGCAAGCAGCAGGAGGCAAAAGCAGGCAAAGGAAAAAAAAGTAAAGGCAAAGCAAAAGTTTTGAAAATAGTGATGGTCCCCAAGGACCATCATACTCAATCAGACCATCACCTATTAAAAGCATCATTTCCCCACCCTTTTTTTTTTTTTTTGTTTGAAATTTTAGGATTGTTACAGACCTGTGCCCGCTGCCAATGCAAGGTCACATCCCTCTATCCCTTGCGTCTCGAGCATAAAATGCAGTAGATCTGTAGTCCTGCGTAGCATCTCGTTATCCCACATACCCTCGAACTCAATACCTTTCAGGGTGAGCTTAAGAGTTCCAACCCTTATATCATCGCTCTAACTTCCTCTTCGTACAGTCGAGTTGAGTCGTGAGAGATGCATACGCTCTCTCTCTCAATCACTTGGGAGGAGTCATCCTAAGACGATAGTCAAGAGGGTTCTAACCCTTTCGGTCGCCCAGATTGCCCTAGTGCATAGCGTCTACGCGGATAGGGAGATTCTCGCCACCCTCCTTTCATTTATCCTTTCTTTTGGTCAGCCAGCCCTCATTCGAGTGAGTCATCATAGAGGAGTACTATCGAATCCACATTGCAGTTCCCAGCACGAGAAAGCAAAGCGACGTGTCAAAATCCTGAGGGGAGTTCGTGTCCACACCGTGCTGGCAGATAACCGGAGGGCTTCGTAGCTGTTCTAAGAGGGTGAAACCGCCCGGGCATGTCCCCAAACCCCAAACGACGATGTAAGAGCCTAAACGCACCCACGTCGTAAAAACTCTCTCTTTGTTGGTTGATATCCGTGTATAGGAGAGCACGCGTGTGCACACTCACTGACATGCAGCACGCGTAGACCCTCCACGTTTGTTTGAGAGAGGATTTTTCCCGCCGTATGCACGAAGAAAAATCAGGCCCCGACCACCCTTATGAAGGTCTAGTCGGTTCCTTGTGTAAAGATCAGGTCGCCATAGATCCAACTACACCTAGGTCCAATTATAGGTTGTGTAGGTATAGGGGATCCTAGCGTATATTCTCCTAGGTTGTTTATCCTCTGGCTTAGGATTAGAAGAGGCGATCGACTCCATGTCAGAACTGCCTTGGGTTGTGGCTTGACTACGAGACATTCTCCTAGGCCAATAGGATAATCACATCACTAGAAAATGTTTAAAAGCATTTTCCTCAAGTCTCCACGGTGTCGGCTGAAATGTGGATACTCTTACTAGGGAAAATTGAAATGTTGTTTAGTCCATTGTACATCCACTTAGGTCCAGAGCCTACACCAATGGGAATAAAATAGAGTGCTCTTAGAGGCCAGATTAGCGGAAGGGTGCTCACCTTAAGGTTGCACGACTCTCAGATCTCACAAATGGACATAAGTTTTCCATCCTCCTTGGTTTTGATATTCCTCCTCTTTGATACCATAATAGATTTTGAAGAAAGTGGAAATATTGGATCTCTCTGTAGTATTGTAGACAGAGGAAAAGAAAGAGAGAAGTGAAACGTTTTTGGTAACTTCTCATTAAGTGTATACTTGGTTTAGACCAAATTAACCTTATATGAAAATATAATGACAACATAGGACAATTGATAAATATATAAAATTATGCATGTTATTAGCATCCCAATGCTATCCAACCTGCAAAATCCCATTTTACAAATAATATTTTACATAAAAAATATATCTCATAGTAAACAATTTTTCCAAACGATTTTTTTAGGGATTCAAACGTGGCTTAAATTTCATAATTAAGGTTGGAAATAGAATTGTAGGTAATCAACAGAGATTTCTAAAGCCAAAACTGTCGCTGCCGATCACTTAGAGTGCTCTGCCCGCCACCGCATATGTAGAAAAACAAGGAGCGGGGAAGGAAGAACAATTGTTTGACTTTGGCACATGAGGTGGTAGGTTTTTTCAATGTTATCAGCCTTCGGATTTTAGGCACAAGCCAAAGATAAGTGAAACCTAGTGCTGTCGCTTAGGTCAAATTCGGACCGCTTTGAGTTTGCTTCGGGTTTTTTTGGCTAGGTAACATAATAGAAATGTATATCTTTATGATGGGTTTAGAGATGTTCTTTAAAAAAAAAAAAAAGTTTGAACCCCCTTATTAGACCACACCCTTTCCAAGAGGATATTACACTTGAGCCGGAACACACAAAAACCTCTTTTCAAATAAATCCATTTGCTGGTAAGAAATGGCCTCTGAACTAGGTGGTCAGAATAGCACGGGCATTGGATGGCATAGACTGATGTCTTGAGTTCCATTTTCATATAAGTAGGGGACCCTTCTCACCTGAGCTCCTATAATGAAAAAAAAATCCTCCTCCCCTGAAATACCCCAAAACACAAAAACAAAAATATCCATGATGGTTTGTCGTGCGGTTTAAGGAAGTGGCTTTAAAAGCAAAGATTTTAATTGTGAAAAATTTAATACACTTTTTTATTTCTAACACCAATTACGGGTACGCATATGCACGGGTCTATAGCAGAAACTGCCGCTCATATTCCCACCCGTTGTTGCCCTTTGTGAAGCAGAACATCAGTTTGGAAATAACCCTGATTCTTGCCATAGATAATATTGCCACCTTGGTTTTGGGTGCCAAATTTAAATAGCTTGATCGGCTTTAAATAGCTTGGTCGGCATAGTACTAGCGTTGGCAAACCCAAAAATTAAAATATATATTCATTTAACTATATGAAAGTTTATATAGAGCTGAGGCTCTAAACAATCAAATTTGACCCTACCTTAAAATTTTCCCTGGAAGAGGTTGTTTTGATGCTCAAATATCTTTAAATTGATCATCTCGACATCAAGATGCATGGTCATGAGAAAAAAATGTATTGCAAGTTTTGAAAATAGTGTATTTTGTAACTCATTTTTTGACCATCAATTTTCAAGTTTTCGTAGATATGTCGATATAGAATATTTTTGAAACTTTAAACTTTATAAATAAATATAAAAATATACTTTAAGGCTATCACAAAGATTTCGAATATTGAAACCACATTTCTAGACACTATTTGAAGGTAGGCTCTAATTTGATTGTTTAGAGCCTAGGCTATATACAAACCGCACCCTTCATGTATTGGGACCTGAATAATATTACTGGACCCAGATCCAGACCTAGACTCGAATAGTATTTGAATCCAAGTTTTGAACCGAACTTGACCTGTTGGATCCAATTTTTGAACCCATAGATCGACTTGGATCGGGTCTACCCCTCAGGTCCCAGGTTGGGTCCAAGTCCATTTCCACCCCTAGGCAGCACACTCCTTAGCTAGCTGAGAAGCCAAAAGATTTTCTACTGCCGTGAGAGTAGAATGTTCATTTATTCCTTTTGGTAAAATCTTATCTAGAAATGATTTTAGGACCACAAATTTTGGAGATGTAACTTGCTCAACCCATAAATTAACATCAATTAAGAAATTATTTTAACTATAACCTCTATGCACTTAAAAATAGAATTTCTCGAGAATTAATAGACACCATTTAATTTTTAGATGGTGAGATCTAAGGGAAGAAAACTCAAATTTAAAAACCCTTTTTTTAGATAATCATATAGTAATTATTAAATGGTTCCTAAAATTTCAAATGAGCACGTGTATTGTGATCCTTCGGGAGCATAGCTTACTTCTACTCCCTTGGTGGGATGACCTATTTGGTAGATTTTTTCAATATGAAATTTTGATAACCACCTAGATGATTATTCTGCATAAAAAAATTTAAAAAAAAAATGAAATTTGATTTTTCTAACACTTAGATCTCACCCTCAGAAAAATGGATGGTTTCTATTCAATCTTGAGAGATTATTTTTTCAACTGTTTAGAGGGTGCATTTAATTTTTTTTTTTTTGTAAAGTGATATCCCCAAATTTTGGGGTCCTAAAACTAATACTAGGGATAAAGTTTCTATAGGGCCTAGGTTAATGAAAACAAAATGAAGCCTCACCTCAAATCCTCATTTGGAAAGCATTTTAGGGTGAAATGGACACTCTAGATAATTTGTTACAATATATATATATATATACATCTTAAAATCCTACTTTTAATTTTTCACAACTAATATATTCAAACCAAGATGATCGATATAAAAGTTTCCCAATGCTTGTATTATAATTTTTGATGAATAATGAGGTGACGCTTTACTTATTTTGATTGGGTGCACCCCAATCAAACCAATTTTTATACTAGGTAGGTTTTACTGGAGGGAGTAAACAAACAGTATACTCCTAAAGGAGTAGAATATCTTTTGGAATTTTAGGTTAAAAAAATGGCCCTGGGTGAGGGATAGAGGTAAGGGTGTGGTTTCTATGAGGTTGCAACCTTAAATAATCCAATTAAGGCGTGTCTCCAAATTTTATCCTACCATATAATTTTGGTGTAAAAAATAATTAGAATTATTTGAAAATATATTTTCATATCTAATTAAAAAAATATAAACTAAAAAAGTGGTTAAATCAAGTAGATTTATAAACATATAACAATATTGAAAATAGACGGTCTAGATAATATGTTACAAGAAATACTAGTTTTAGAACTCAAAATCTTTTTTTTTTTTTTTATACTCATACATCTTGATGTAGATATGAGTTTTTTTTAACATTAAAAAACGGAAGTAAATATGCTGGGCAGGAAGCATTAGTGCACGTGCTCAACAAAATAGGAAACATGTATTTGTTCGGTTTAACGTGCTCCCGCGGGAGCATGTTGGGGTTGCGTCATCGAGCTTGTTATTTTCTTTTCTGGGTAAATCCGTACGCAGAGTGTAAGCAATCATTTTTAGTCTTAGATCCTTACATTTGTCAAAATCCCAGCGTTGCCCTTCTCAAACCCACAATGCACAGTTACCCCCCAATACCCTCTTGGGCCAATCAGGTCAGTCCCTCTCTCTCTCTACTCATTCATTCATTCTTCAAATATAAACCCTCTCTCTAAAGTCTAGAGAGAGAAAAGCCGCTCACCCTCACTCGCTCCCTCTCTCTCTCTCTAAACTAAACCTACTCTCCCTGTGTGAGTTCACGGTTTAGAATGAGAGAGAGAGAGGGAGAGGGAGAGAGGGGGATGAGGGCGTAATTAGGCCGAAAAGAGTTTCAGAAGGGTAAAATTAAATTGGCTTTCGTTGGTAGTGAAAGAGAGAGAGAAAGCACGGTAAAAAGGGGTTTATTCACAGGTGGCATGCATTTTTTCTCTTGAAAAGAGAGACATCCTTTTAATCTTGGCCGCCACTTTTCTCAATCCTTCCTCAAATCCCCATAAATTGAAGCTGGGATTTAGAGTCATTTCCACATGTACAAACTTCGATTTATGGGCAAAAAAACAGGGACCTTCTTCTTTTTAACCTCTCTGCTGCCTTGCTGGTACAAGCACAAAGAAGTTTGCCATGGATAATGACTCCTCTACATCTCTCTCATGGCTCTATCGATTTTCAGGTACGCTCATTGGGTCTATTTTGGGTTTGATTACTGCAATGCTCCGCACCCTCTCTTGTTTCTCTCTCTACAATGTGTTCTATTCCTGTTTGGTTGGGTCTGGCTCTTTTAATCTGCTCTTTCAGTGACTGATTTGGGTCATTTTTCTTTCCTATTTTTTTATCACTTGTTGGCAAGAATAAGTAGTGTTTCCTTTTATTTTATTTTCCCCTTTTCCTTGTGGATGGGTGTTTATAATCTTATTGTGCAGAAAATTATCCTATTTTTTACTTACTGATGAGAAAAGTTCTTGTTTAAACGGAGGAAATTAGTAGATATTGACATGTATAATATTATGAAGGGATGGAAGCTGGGGCACAATGCCTTTTGCAGAGAGGGTACTAACAGGGGTAGTTTGGTCATATTTGAAAAAGGAACCGGTTTCCATGCGGCCGAGCCCGCATATGTAGGAATGCTGGCCTCTTGCTAAATCTATTTTTGAGATTTAATTTTTAAAGATGTAATCTCTGATCATGAATATGAAAAAATAAATAAATTTTAAAAATTAAAAATAATAATTCTAGAAAGAAAACATTTGGACCGCTGGTTTCACTGTTTTTGTTTTTAGATGGAACACTCGCTTGCATCCATATTTAAGAGGGATGCTTTACACTTTTTGGACCGCATACGTAGAAATACGGTGCGGTCCAGCCCAGGATGAAACAATCTTCCCTGAAAAATTGTGGGAGGGCATTTTCGTCATTTCAGAACTGAGGGGCAGTTTTGTTGTTTAAGATAGTAGCGTGCGGGGAATTTAGGGCACTCTCTTCATTATATTAGAGGGTTTGGGGGGACGGCAGTCTTGTCAACTTTGCTAGTTTGGGGGCATTTTGGTCAGTGCTTGGCGTAAATGGGGCAGGTTAGGCGTTTCTGAAAATGTTGTGAAGGGTCAAAATGCAACGTCCACCAGGGGTATTTTGGTCACTTTGGGGTAGACGACAAGAATGGTCATTTAGGCAATTAAGTCTTGTAAATAACGAGCATGTCATGGCCGTTACGATGATCGTTGTAATGGTATCTTTTGTTACTGAACTGTGGCCGTTATAATTACCCAAAAAAAAACTGTGGCCGTTATAACAGCATAATGACTGTTTTTTTAACCTTGTTTAATAATCTCAGGAGTGCAAAAATAAGGTTGAATTTAGGTCAATTGACATGACTCGAAGTCTCACTCTCTATTTGTGTTGCTCCATATGTTAAATTTAGGTCAATTGATATTCTAGCCAATGGTGGATGCCATAGCAGTTGATTTTCCTTACTTCTAATAATAAGATGGGCAAGTTTTTTGTTTTTCTTTTTGATTTTTCATATTTTTACTGTAGTTGTAATTTGTAACTGCTTTTCTTCTTTGTTTGTTCATATCGTTACCATAGTTGTAATTTATGGCTAAATTCAGATCTGTGTACATGCAACATAGGTAAAAGTTGGCAATGCTCATGCATGAGATAACTAGCCCAAATTTTTTAAGTTTGAGTCATCATCATCATCATCTTTTTTCCCGATTAATTGGGGTCGGCATTTTTTTTTGAAGTTTGAGTACTTACCTTAATTTGGGTACATTTACATTAAGTTGAAATTTTGGGTAGTTTACTTAATTTGCTTCTTTATATTAAGTTTAAGGCACCCTTTTAGTTTTGATTAGGAATGAACTCTAGGCCTAGGTCATTAATAGTAGGGTGCCACAACATGACGTATAGAGTTTCATTATTACGAAGTCCTGAGCTAACATTTATAAATAAATAAAAATAAAATATCGCATTGTCTAAATTGGCTGAAGAAAAGGCTTTTATGGCAGCACTTGTTGAAATCAGTAGAAGAGAAGGCTCCACTCCCAAATAGCTGGAGGACCAAACTCTGGATTTTTCCCACTTCGATTTACTAGAAGTGGTATGTCAAAGCATGTATGAAGGTTATATACTTTTATAGTATGTTAGATGGAATCTATAATGAGACTAGTCCGCAGTCCATTGGATGCATGAGCATGTACTTGGAGAGAAAGTTGAAAAAATTAAGAAGTACTTTAAAATTAAGGATTGTAGACAATGAGACCATTTACCTTTAGTGCAAAGAGGTCACAATTATTTATAACCATCCGATGTGAAATCTGATAGCTTGGATGTGTCACAAAGTTCGAAAAAATTTCTTTTGAACTTTGAGCATGGTCAATGGAATAAATGCAACTGCATAAGTGGGTGCTTGGGGAGAATTAAGAAAATGAACTAGTACGTTAAAGACAAGCAGTTATTTCAAGTAACGGCAATGCTCGTCTAAATCAATGCAAGAAGGCTTTGCTCCTAAATAGTGGAGTAGTCCAAAATTCTTGCTTTTTCCGCTTTTAACTGAAAGAATCGGGATTCACTTGAAGTAATTGGTTTGTTCAAACATGCCCAAAGGTTTTAGTTTTTATAGTATGTTACATCAGATCTATAAGGAGAATAGTCTACTGTCAATGTAATGCATGAGCAGATACCTGCAGCGAGTTAGAAAAAAAAATAGTACTTTAAAGACATATAGCTATTTTAAGTAATGATGTTGCTCGTCTAAATTGGTGGAAGGTAAGGCTTTACTCCAAAACAGTAATAGCAGATCAGACTCCCTCTTTTTTCGCTTTTAAATGAGAGAATCAGGATTTACTTGAAGTAAGTGGAAAGAAGTTTGAAAGTTCAGTTTTTATGATACATTAGATGGAATTAATAAGGAGCTCATCCATGGCGCATGCAATGCATGAGAACGTACTTGGAGGGAGTTAAGAAACAATGAACTAGTACTGTAAAGTTTTATAGCTATTTCAAGTAACAATGGGGCGAGTCTTAATCGGTGGAAGCTAAGGCTTTACTTCAAAACAGAGATAGCAAACTAAACTCCCATGTCTTATGCTTTGAATGAAAGAATCAATATTTACTTGAAGCAAGTGGTCCTTGTAAACAGGTCTCAAGTTTTTATTTTTCATAGTATGTTAGATGGAAGCCTCAAAAAGATAAAGGGTAGGACGAAAAGGATATGGTTGAAAGTAGGGAGAAAAGATATGGGAACAAGGCCTATGCCCCATAGAAACTATCTCCCTGAGGCTGTCCCTTGGCCCATAAGTCCTGACACATTAGAATTCTAGCTCTTCTAGAGTGGTATCTCACTGATAACTCGGGAAAGGTCCAAAGCCAATCCCAGAGAACAGTGAAAGCTTCATAAGGTCTTTCTGTTCAGGTGTAGGTAGTCCACATCTTCACAGACATGTCTATTTCATCGAGCCTCTCTCCAAGACAGTGCCCATATCGTTATTGCCTCACTAAGGGTGAGCAAAATAGCGGATCAGGATTTGTGTGACCGACCCGAAATAGTTGGGAAAAGGCTCTGATGTCATAAGGTCTTTCTGTTCAGGTGTAGGTAGTCCACATCTTCACAGACATGTCTATTTCATCGAGCCTCTCTCCAAGACAGTGCCCAGATCGTTATGGCCTCACTAAGGGTGAGCAAAATAGCGGATCAGGATTTGTGTGACCGACCCGAAATAGTTGGGAAAAGGCTCTGATGATAATGCTAATGAGTATGTTAATTGGAATTTGTAAGGATACTACTCTAGAAATGGGCTCAAGGCTAAGGCTAGGTGGTCAAGGTGGCAAGTTTCCACAATGTGATGTGGGTTCCTTTCCTACCATGGTACAAATATATGGGTTTATCTAGAGTGAACAACCTCTCAAAACACAAAGGTTCAAGTTAGAAGGAGTTGTGATGGGTGTATTTACCCTTATGGAGATGACAAAAGTACCCTTTGTCCTGTAGTAATATTTACAAAATTGCCCTACAAAAGTAACTTTTTTTGAAAAAATAGACTACAAAATTAATAAATCCACCTTTCACAACTCTCTCTATCTTGAACCTTTGTAATTTCAAGGGTTGTGTAGTTTAGATTATCCCTATAT